TCTCACCCTCTCTCTCACTCTATTTATCTATCTATCTATATGTCTCTTTTAGAGGTTAGAATCGTTTATATTTATGTGATGATTGGCATTATCTGTTTTAGTAGCAAATTTACAAGTTTAAAGCATACAGTAGACTTTATTACTTTTGTATTGGGAAAGTGCCCTTTATGCCCCGCGAGTAATTTTGTGTTGAGGATCATGGTCTTTGTCTAGTGGTATTTGTTTATTTGAACCTTCTATTTCTTCATATTTTAATTTTTTCTCCTTCGGAAGGAGAAATGCATATATGTATTGACAGTGCCAGTAGTTTGAAAAATCATCTTGCATCTTGCAACATCAAAGCATACATTAGAGACAGACCTTTCTGTATTTGAGAAATGTCCTCTATGCCCAATGAGTAGCTTTGAGTTTTGAAGTGCATCCTAGGGTAATGCAACATTTATTTATATTTCTTTACTTCTGAAATATAAACCTCATTTTCTGTCTTCTTTCAGAAAAAAAAAAAAAACCTCATTTTCTGTCGTGGGAAATGAATTACATGAATAACTACTAAAATGATGACAAGATTTCTGAAAGGAATGAGATTCTGTTCCTCCATACTGTTTTAGATGATTGTAGTCTTTTTTTGAGCTGTTACCCCTTGGGGTGAACAGTTATTTAAAGGTTTCTACATCACCCTGTTTATCTTAAAAAAAAAAAGGTTTCTACATTATCCTGTGTTAGAAGGCCATGGTAATGGTGGCTTCTAGTGAATTCATTTCATGTCAATACTACAACATTTTTATTTCACAATAAAAAAAGTGAATTCATCTCATATTTTGAGCTTTTAAGGTTTCGAATATGGTGGGAACACCATATTTCACCCTGTAGTTTAGATAAATGTTCAAATTGCATCATGGTTTTTTTTTTGGGTGCAAATCAATTTTGTATTATGAAGAATGTTCAAATTGCACCATTGGCCGTTATTACTTGTTAACACTGTAAGTAATGGCCACGTATGGTCGCTGACATATTTAAGTCGATACCACGTGAATGCCACGCCATCAACATGTGGTGTCCACATGGACCAACTCAAAAGCACATTGTGAAAGGCTCATGCCCAACCTTTTGCTTTGACCCCAAACCCCATAGCTTTCATCGCCACAACACAGGAATTTGCTGTAAGTAATGTTCAAATTGCACCATTGGCCGTTATTACTTGTTAACACTGTAAGTAATGGCCACGTATGGTCGCTGACATATTTAAGTCGATACCACGTGAATGCCACGCCATCAACATGTGGTGTCCACATGGACCAACTCAAAAGCACATTGTGAAAGGCTCATGCCCAACCTTTTGCTTTGACCCCAAACCCCATAGCTTTCATCGCCACAACACAGGAATTTGCTTCATGCCTTACCTCTTCCATGCCCTACTTCCTTCCATTGCCACACCATAGGAATTTCCATTGCCATCCAGCACCCAGCACCCGGTTCCTTTGTGCCTTACCTTCTGCGTTGAACCCAACCCCAAAGCACCTAGCACCCATCTCCTTTGTACCCTACCTTTTGCATTGAACCCAAACTCCAGAGCACATAGCACCCATCTCCTTTGTACCCTACCTTTTGCATTGAACCCAAACTCCAGAGCACATAGCACCCATTAACGACCTAGCTTTTGACATTGCTGGAGTTTCCTTTGCTGGTTGTGGAGCTGTTCATTCCCTCTTTGATTCCCATCTGCGTCGACCTAGGTTTTGCTTTTTTGTTGCTCGAATCAGATTCTCGAGGAAGCATGAGCCTTGCTTCATTCTGCTTCACTGGTGATTCTTTTTCTCATGGTTGCCAACTGCTCCGTCGCGGTAAATATAATCCGGGTTCCCTTTTAAATGGGATAGGAACATTGACGAAGCAAACTCCTGCAATGGCAGAAGTAGGCCGTTATGGGGTCATGGAGGAGATCGTTGCTGGGTGCCCTGGGGTCTGGGTTCAACACAGAAGTTAGGGCACGAAGACAAGCACTAGGGGAGTGCAATTATACAAATTATTTTCAAGTCCAAATATCTATAAAGTTCCCAAAATCTTTATGTGCATAAAGAGGATGGTCCTTAATAAAAAAGTTTAGGTTTTGGAAGCATAAATGTTCAAATTATCGAAAGTAAACTGGATGCCTCAAAAGCTCGTATATTTCTTTTATTCTAATTGACCTAAGAGGTAACCAAGGCGATAAGGTTCAGGTCCTTGTTGCAGTGTTTATCCCCTGCATTCCTCTCAAGGCATGAAGCTCATCCCTCACTTATTTGGCCATCAGGCAATTCATCCGAAGATTTTGATCGCAAAAGGTTATGGTTGCAAGAATCTGCTGCTTTGTTACACAAATAGTACCAATTTACCATAATTTTCCCCCTTTTGATAGGTTGTCAGTTAAATTCATTCCTCTACCTCTTTCTGTGCCAAAAAAGGTGAGCCTTTGATCTTCCAAATCTGCTACAAGGGGAATTTTTTGCTAGCTCCCTTTTAAACAAGTGTAGATAATAGGATTTTATAGAGAAAGCCCCTTTAGGGTTTAGCTTCCAGAATGAATTGTCCAGAGCCTCGTTTGGTCTTGCGCTTTTTGAAAGAACCTGAAATAAGGTTAACATAATTGTTGACTTCCCAATCACTCAGGTTGATGACAGAATCCCCTTTCCTCATCAGAATTTCCCTCAGAACCTATCATTAAATTGGACTTCCAATTTTTTTCGCATACTAGCTTGAGAATTGTTAACATTGACAAATCCTAAGTTATAATATTAGCGGGAGTGCTCTTGATAAGTGTCATTTTTCTTCCTCCACCATAGCAAATTTCTTTCCACCAACCAAATTAGACTTGAATCTATTTTCAACTGAGTCTCGTACCGAGGTGAAATTAGCCCCAAAAGGCAAACACAAGTACTTCAGAGGTGGATTTCTAATTTGACGCCTAGAACTCTTGCCAGGTTAGTCCCTCGTATCACCAACAAAACCAACATAGTCTTTGCCAACCATCTGATATTAAGTAAGGCTTGGTGATTTGGTTTACAGAATAATGTGCCAAGCAAAAGATCAGTGACGCACCTGTGCAGCATCTTTATAAAGGATCCTTGATCCCTAGGGGCCAAAAAATCTGGACAGGCCGCCATTACGACAGTTGCAAAGGAAGGAGTCAGCTGTCATAAACAAACGCCATTTTGCTCCAAATCCCCATCTATTCAACACATAGAACAGAAAATTCCAGGCCTCATGATCATAGGCCTTTTTCATGTCAAGCTTCCGTAATACTTATCCATTCTCGTTTTTTAATAAGTCCATCACTTTTGCAATTACTGTAGCATCCAAAAATTGTTTGCCTCCAATGGTAGTTGTGGCTGCTTGTTGGCCATTGATGTTGTAACTGGAAGAAATTTTTTTTCAAAAACTTTCATATGGGCTAGTAAGTAGTATTTAATGAGCTAGGACCATCTAATGCCAGCCAGTGAACATAGTGTTTTTTTGTCAAAATAGAAGCCGCAACATTTGTTGTGCCATACAACTGATGTTGTGCGATGTAAAGGCATGAGAAGATGATTTTTTTTTTTTTTTTTTTTTTTTTGCAATTTGGTATAAGAATACTAAGATGTCTAGAACATGGACTTGTGTTGGAGAGTGCCCAACACAAGTCAGGCTTGAGAGATGGGTCTTACCCATGCTGTTTGC